AGGGAAGCACAGAGGGAAGCACAGAGGGAAGCTGAGCACAAACTCAAAGAGACTGGTGTGTATTCTCTCCGACAGTGGGACGTGTATGATAAAAAGGAACAAGTTAACCCTTTGGTGAGAGCAGTGTTAAATGCAGCTCTTGACGCAATACGGAGCTATGAGAAGAAGGAGGAGGAGGAACGCCAACGTCAACTGAGGGAAGAAGAGCAACGCCGACAGGTAGGGGAAACCCTGTCAGGCGTCTACGAGTCTGTATTTAATGCTACATGGAACCATGTGATGAAAGTCTCTGGTGACAGCGAAGGAGTCGGAATGGAGGTGAGGGAAGGCAGGCCGTCGAGGGAATGGACAGACAAAGAGGTGAAATATTTTCCTCTTGGTGGTGCAATAAAGGGGAAGAGCAAAAAGAGCACCAGCGCAAAGGGGGTGGCGAAAACGAAGGGACCACTTGCTGAGCTAATTGTACTCCATTCTGAAAAGGGTTGGCCTTATGATGTTTTTGAAGAGCTTGGAGAGTGTGACTGTTATGTTACAAGGGAAATTGTCCGCGTTTGGATGATTGTTGAAACGGATATAAAAAATTGGCTTGTTCAAAATGCAGGAAGAGTAAGGGCCACGTTACGCCTTTTGATTGGGACACCTGGTATAGGGAAGTCAATGGGGACTGGCTCGTATCTCCTCTACCAACTGCTGCACTATGACAAGGAACGACTTCCAGTGGTTGCATACTTCGTTTCAGGAAAGATGTATCTCTTTGACAAGGTTAGAAACCAGGTGCGTTTTTACCGATCACAAAAGGAAGCCGAGGCAATAATCTCAATGTTGTCCAAGAGTGTGAGGGGATACATTATCTACGATGTGGCAAAACAAGGAAGTGAGCCGTCGATTGATATGCCTCCTACTGCTTGGGGCATGATTCTTTTGAGCTCTCCAAACAAGGACAACTTCAAAGGATGGGAGAAGCGAAGAAGAGCACGGCGTACCATAATAGAGTGTCCCAGCATGAGTGAACTGAAGGCGATGTGTGTGTGGATACACCGCGATAAAGCAGAGAAGAAAAAACAGAAAGAATGGAAGGTTGTGGAAGAGCGCATAAGCAATGTGGGACCGATTCCCCGCTACATTTTCTGTAGTGAAAGTGAGTACGGCGATCGTCTTGATGCGGTCGATGAGGCGTTGAGCTGTATCACGCCGTCCAATGCCGAGTTATACTTTGGAGTGAACAAAGAGGGTTCATGGCAAGGCCAAGATCCCTGCCACAAGCTTGTGGAAATCAAGCGTGTTTCCACGGGAAGAGGGACCGAGAAATACTACAACGATCCACTGACAAATCCGATAAGGGATAGAATAAGGGATCGGGTCGGCGATGCCCTTGACACCTCTGCTCTTTTGATGTCATTGTTGCTTCCATTTGAGGAGATGGTGCCGAAGATTATGGAGACATTTGCAGTTGCGGCATTTTTGCACGAGGAGTTCGTGAAAAGAGTACACAAGAAACTCAAAGAGATTGTTCCA